ATATAATATAAGCTCTGGCGGACTTGGTTCTATGGTAGGTCTTAAAGGGTTAATGTCCTAGAGGGATAACCCAGGGGAGCAGCATCTGGAATAGGACTCAACAATATCCGGAATCAAGTAACTCATAACTTTGTGGCTAAGCCCACATTTTAATCCGAGTTACCGCCCCTGCATTCTGGTCGATTGGTTTTGCAGCTTTATTCTGAAGGCTGATGCATGTTTAGCTCTTTCTCTGTCCTAGCATGAAAATATCCTCCAGCTGTTTCTACTTGTCTCACTATTCTAATATAATACCCATTTCTGCCATATTGGAGGTGCACCTGTCACTCTGCAGGTTAATAGTCTTATTCTTCACCCTCCTCCGTCTCACCACCAGGTCGCCCACGAGGCTTCAAACTGCGTCTCCCCCTGCTGCGCTCCCTGTCCAACAGTAAAGCTTCTCTGGACGACGCAGAGGCCGGACACATCCCCACAGCAACGCCGGTGTCGCTGCACCCAGAGGACCACCGTAGCCCCGAGTCCTTAGGTCTGGGGGAATTTCTGCCCCTCCCCCCACTGCCACCAAATCACCAGGAGAAGCTGAGTGGAAGCAGGTAGATGCTTGATCTTAACGTTACTGCAGAGATGAACATGTTCACATGCTAATATCACCTCTTGTGTGTCCCAGGTCAGCGCTACAAAGCTGGCCTGAAGACCGCCAGGAAGACCAACGCACCTTATTGTGCTCCGAGCCTCCAGTAGCCGTTCCCCCACATCAAACTCACGGAGCCCACCTGGTAGGTCCCCTCACCCATTCCACACCCTGCGTAGCACCCCACCACCGGCTCAGCCTCAACCCCGAAGGCTCGGCCTCCAACTGCTCTCTGTCGCACAGCCGCTCGCGAGAAAGCTTTCACAGCATGCGTCGCGCCTCCTCCGTAGACGAGATCGAGGCCATGAGGCCGGAATGGGATCGGAAGAACCGGAGGCCAAGCGTCCGGCCGGCCAGCAGCAGCACCGGTGAGACGGCGCGAGTGGGATAAAATGTTTCCCTGCTGGTTTTCTTACCTGATTGTTGAACATTTGCATGTTTCCAGGTGCAGTAAACAGCAAGTTGAACATACTGAACTCCACGTCAGACTCCGACCTCATGCGGTACCGCACCATTTCCAAAATCCCTCAGATCACGCTCAATTTTGTGGATTTCAAACCGGACCCACTCATCGCTCTGCCCTCGGGGGAGATGGACATCATAGCACCCTGCAAACTCATCGACCGGACACACAACGTCACGGAGAAGGTCACACAGGTAGGACGCAGTCCGTGTGCAGTGTGCCCGATGTCCAGCAGAGGTGTTATTTTTGTGACATTTTGCCAGCCTGCATAAATCATTAAGGGACTGCAAGCCATTTGCACTTGTTGTAAGTCTTTCAGGGCAAAAAGTGCTTGAGTGAAGGCCACTGACCGAGTTTCAAAGAGATGCTGATGCTGAAAGGTGGTAGGCCAGTAATCTACTAGGCTAGGCATAAGCATGTACTTCTGCACACGTGAAAAACTGTATTTTTTCACATAATTTGCTTAAAAAGACGCAATAGACACCTGTACTGAACTTCTAAAAGCAGGACTCATTGGAGTCGTTGTTCTGCTGTGCTACCAAGCAAGGCATCTCACCCCAGATCAGCTTCTTGTCTACTTTGGATGCAGTTGAGGATTGTTTTTGGTTTTTGGTTTTAAACTCAGAGGACGATGATGAGCCTGTGAGCTGGGATGTGCCATCACAGATTACCTGTCCTTGGTTCACAGTGTGCTGAGAGTCTTTGAACTGCTATATAGACTTTACATAGGCATATTTCTGCATCCCAGTATGACATTTTCAGCTGATTGATATTTGCATAATAATCTAGGGATGCACTGATACCGATACTGGTATCGGGTATCGGGGCCGATACTGTAAAATGTGTGTGTACTCATACTCGTAAAAGTTAACCGATACCATGAACCGATACCAACTTATTTCATTAGTCAGAGGGTGGCTTGTCATTTCTGTTGTAGTTCTTTAGATTGGCCACTAGGGGGACATCCCGTGCTAAACAGGCACAGGGTTAGGCGAGTGAGACTGGCAGCTCCAGATAAAAAAGAGAAACTGGAGGCTGCTGTAGCTAGGCTAAACAAAATGTCAGCAGTGTGGAACAGCCAACTTTAACTCAGGTTTTGGAAAAGCGATGAAAAATGTCAAGAGAAAATCCACGGGCAGTGTGTGTGTGTGTGTGTGTGTGTGTGTGGTAGAAGTATCGGTTTTTGTACTCTGTATCGGCAAGTACTCAGATCCAAGTATCGGTATCGTATCGGTTTGAAAAAATTGGTATCGTTGCATCCCTATAATAATCTGCTTTTTGTTAGCAAAGTAACGTTTCTATGTGTTCTTTATTAACGCCTGAATCTCCTGCAAGATCCAGAGGGCTTTACTTCTATCGAAACGTTATCATGCTAAGGTGCAAAATCAAAGCGTGTGTGCGTGTGTGTGTGTGTGTGTGTGTGTGTGTGTGTGTATTAGCCAATGGTGCAGTTATGATCCAGTGCAGATGGAGACAGCAGTACCAGCTGTGTCTCCAAATGTTATAGAGTGCTATTTATAGAGCTGTAAGAAGAAAGGAAGAATCACGAGGTGGTTTGTCAGCACATATACGTCTGACATCCGTGTGACCTCCTGTACGACTTTACTGAATGAGAAGAACAGCAGGGGGTAACGTGGAAGGAAAAGGAACCATGAGCCCCTAATAACATCACATAGTTGCTGAGTGTTTTTCTATATTTGTTGTGAAGCCCCATACGTTCCCTAAAGTTCCCTAAAGAACTGCCTCCGCCTGCCCTCTGACCTCTGAACTGTGGAGTACAACGTCTGCTGTTTGTCAGTCTAGTAAGGGATCAGCGCACCTTTAGACTCAGCTGACTGTACGACTGTGGTTGAGCTTTAAAGCTTCGTACTCTTCAGTCTGTGCCTGGCCAACAGGGTGAGGCTTGTTGTGAGCGGAGCGCCTGCCTTTCCGGGCTGTGCCTATAGATGGCAGCATCAAACAGTGTGATGACAAGCGCAGCGATCCCTCGGAGCAGCAGAGAAGAGGATGCTGAACGGCAAATAAGGCCAAATAATTTACATGTTTCAAAAACATCTGATGTCCCGAGGAAGAACTCGTGCAGACGTTCTGCACATTTATGAGCTGCACACACTCACAACACACTGAAGCTCTCTGATACCCAGAGCTTCTCACACATGCTGGCTCTTGACTCAAGCGTCCCGTCTTAGAGACTTAGAGCGTTTTATTGTCATTGTGCAGTTTCTTGCACAGCAGAATTGGGGAGCTGCACAAAGGTGCAAAAGTAGAGAAGAGAAAACAATATACAACGAGGGAAAAACATAAAAAGCAATATATATGTGTGTGAGTGTGGTGTATGCATAAGAAACATTGAAACAGAAACGTGTGGGGCTGCATACAGGGGCAGTTATATAATATAATATAATAAATAAATACAATTATTGACATTAAGATATAAATGGAGCGATGGAGGACACACAGCAGAGCCGTAGGAGCCATCATTACTATCTGCTAAAGATGTAACAGAAGAAACATCGTTTGGTTGGTGTGTTGTGTAGTCGTGTTATTGTGATGTCAGGGAGACAATCGATGCTTCTAAGGCTGATGCATTTTTCTGTTTCCACTCCAGTGTTTTTAAAAACAAATGCAAGAATTGTGTTTTGATTATGTGGCGTCACAGGAGTCGTGATGACTTTTGCGTCATTATTTACTACACAGTGTGTCGCGTTTACTTTCTCCCATTCTAAGTGGCAGCAGTGTAAGTGTGTCAGAAATCCCCCAGTGGGGCGACAAACTAGATTTCTGCCTCTTCTCTCCTTTGCAAATTGCAGCATTCTCTGATAAAGAAATGACTCCCTCAGGTCAGGTTGATATCATGAAAAGTTCACTGAATAAATATGTATGTGAGTATTACTGATAACGTGTCTGTTTAAAGCTATGATGACGAAGTTGTTTTGTTACTGATGAGTCACCGATCTCTGAAAGAGTGAGGTCGCAGTACTGAAACCCATTTTTCTACATTTCAGAAGTCTTACTGTTCATATTAAACCATAAAAAGCGAAGTGTGGCTTCTTGGAGCTCTGCTGGTCTTTGCAGGACAAACAGTGATGCGCAGGTTCACTTCCAAAGTAGAAACAAGGAGAGATGTGCAATCAGAATCAGAATACTTTATTAATCCCGAAGGAAATTGTTGTTTTGTTACTGATGAGCCACCGATCTCTGAAAGATGTATATAATGCTTTAGAGGATTACGCAGCACATGCAGCTGAGCTCAGCTTCCACTGGAAGTGTTGTGTGGATAGTAGGGTTTGTTGGTATAACCTTAACATTGTATCGTGATAATTCGAGGAAACTATGACTTTTACACTATAGAAGCAAAAACTGAATAATGTTCTGGATTGCAGCTTGCAGGCAGCAGCATTTATTGGTGCAAACAAAATCTCCTCAACAACGCTCAACCAGTCGTCCAGAACAGGGGGGTCAGTACAGAGCCACTTACGAGTAATTGCTTTTTGCAGCAGCAGCAGTAAGAATCTTCAGGAGATATTTGTCATTGCTTGTTAATTCTTCGGGTAGGTCTCCTAAATAAAATGTTATGACAGGCCGTTGTTTTGATTTAAAGCCTATAGTCTGTCCTATCTTTGATATAACATCTTCCCAAAATGTAGAAAGTTTTCGACACGACCAGAATATGTGGGTATGGTTTGCAACAGTTTCCCCGCAGCTCCTCCAGCATGAAGAATTTCCTCGTGTTTGTTGTTTTGGTGTTATGAAAAATCGTACCAGGTTTTTCCAACTAAATTCTCGCCAGTATGCAGAGGATGAGGTTGAAATGGCAGTCTCAAACATATTGTCCCATTGCTCAGAAGTTATAACTGAGGACAACTCTCTCTCCCATCATCCCTTTATATAATCTGTTGAAGTTCCCCTACTTTTCAATATGCCCTGGTAGAGTTTAGAGATAACTAACTTGCATCCCTTATAGTATGTTTGTGAAATCAGATTAATTATTTCATTGGATTGTGTATTAATTTCTTTAGTCACTTTTGAGGACAAATACTGCCGTAATTGTAGGTATCTGAAAAAATCACTTTTTCCTAGCTCATATTTTTCTTGTAATGTTTGAAAACTTTGCAGGCCATTCTTATCCAGTATTTTACAGTATAGTCTGGGTAGTTTTTAATGTTTTGTTTAGTTTCCTGGGAGAACAGCATCACTGTTTAACACTTTTACTAAAGCAGCCGTTAAACTGCTGTAACTGCTCAACACTCTGCAGCACAATAGGAGCATGTTACAAAACTGACGTTGAAGTGTTGTGTCTTTGCTTTTTAACCAGTATTCTGCACTTTAATATTGTGAAGAATGAACACATGTGTGTCTTTCACAAACTCTGCAACGTTTGAAAATGACCGATGCTACATATGCAGTCAGAGAGCGTTTGTGAGCCAGTAGTATATACACTGTATATGCATGTACTGCAGCTTTGAATGCATGGATTAATGCAGGTTGAACTGCACACTTTAGCTCCTATGAATATAATAACTTTTACCCATAAGAAGTGTTTTTAAAAACGAGGTGACATTTGTGCGAGATTTCTGCACCGTGGTGGAAAAACTGTGGAGTGACAAAAATAGTCTTAATTAAAGTGATTTATTTGGTGCGTTTGTCCGAGCCAGCTCAGGCTCCGATGTTTTACTGGAATATATTTCTGTACACAAACACGCACATAAATCAAGGAACCCTAATCAACTCAGTCATTGTTGGTGGTAATGGTCTCAAACTCTCTGTGGGCCATAATCCATGTTTCTTCTGTGTGTGAAGCCAGCGTGAGCTGTGAGCTGTGCTGCACAAGGAGCATGAATATAGGGCACTGTTTGTATACTGGATGTATACTGCTGTTATAGACTTACATATTCCATCAATAAGCTGATTTTGCAGAACATGAGAAAAGGAAAAGTTGGGATGAGTATTGATACAGTGTGTGTCTCGTCTTCTGTGCCTTCAAAGGGCTTAATATATAAGTGTATGTACTGAAACACTGCATGCATGTAACATTTACAGATACTGATTCTGTAAAGTTGCACAGACTGAGGAAGTTATGGTTCAACAGCCAGAGGTTGTGTCTCTGCAGGTGAGCTTGCAGCAGAACCTCAGTTCTTTAATCAAATGGCATCTACAGGTGTGACAACAGTCCTTTAACCCTTTAAA